CCCCCCCCCCCCCCCCCAGTTGGGTGACTGGTGCCTCCTGGGTCTGGAGGGGCACCTGGGGTTCCCCCATGACTGATTGCCAAGCCGGGGGGTTATAGGGGGGCCCCCCTGCGTGCTTGGCAGTGGACCACAGACACTTCCAGGTTTGCCACCGAGCATGCAGAAGGTTCCCCCATGCTTCTGTGGGACACTCCATCCACCCCAGCATCACAGTGTACGTCGAGGCAGCATGCTGGTACCTCGAGGCAAGTAGAAAAAACATTTAAAGCTGTGTCTACGGCCAGATTGCTGATTCTCTGAATTAGCACTGACTCTTCAGATTTGGATTCAGCTGAATCGAATTGGGTACAGTGATCCGAATCAACTAATCAAATCACTGTGCCTGATTCGGGCTGAATCCGAATCAAATACGGTCAGTTTCGCACACCCCTAGTATGTGAATGTAAACCCAAAAGGATCAGTTTCTTTAAGCTGGCCTGGTTCTTTGGGTAGATGTGATATTTCTCATTAGACCAGCTGAGTAGTTGGAAAAAAGTTCTTTGCAACTTTCAGGCGCAATCGCCCTTCTTCAGGCAAAGGGAGACTGCTGTTGTTCTGAGATCTCCAAGGAATGAAAGAAGCTGAAAGTGTGACAGGATGGCAGTGAGAATGTAAATAGACGGAAATTAGGAAAACAAAAGGTAGGGAAGTTGTGGGGGGGAGGGCAAATGAGGGGCAAAAATAGCCCCAGGTGTGTAAGGGAGACTCTACTGTAGTAGTTTTCCATGGTAGAAGAGAGTCTGTGGAGGGCGGGGGGATACTTTTCACAGAAAGCCACTTTTCTATCTTGGAAGTTAGCAGGAAATTGCTGACATTTGCCACAGACTGGAATATAGTTAGTGGGTTTACAGCATGAATGCTGCAGAGTACTATTAGATAATACTTTGTTTTTTAAAGTAAGTCAGGCTTGAAGGCAGTTGCAAAGCATGCAGTTATCAAGCTTTAGTCAAACATGGCTTGCATCCATAGATGCTTCTCAAGCAAATCCCAGTATGTCCTTCTCACCCTGTACTCGGCCTTGGTGAGGCCGCAGCTGGAGTGTTGCATCCAGTTTTGGGCTCCACAATTCAAAAAGGTTGTGGAGAAGCTTGAGAGAGTCCAGAGAAGAGCCACACGCATGATCAGAGGTCAGGAAAGCAGACCTTACGACAACAGGCTGAGAGCCATGGGGCTCTTTAGCCTGGAAAAGTGCAAGCTCAGGGGTGATCTGGTGGCCCCCTATAAGTTTATCAGGGGTGACCAGCAGGATCTGGGGGAATGTTTGTTCACCAGAGCGCCCCAAGGGATGACGAGGTCAAACGGTCATAAACTACTACAAGACCGTTTCAGGCTGGACATAAGGAAGAATTTCTTTACTGTCTGAGCCCCCAAGGTCTGGAACAGCCTGCCATCGGAGGTGGTTCGAGCACCTACATTGAACACCTTCAAGAGCAAATTGGATGCTTATCTTGCTGGGATCCTATGACCCCAGCTGACTTCCTGCCCTTTGGGCAGGGGGGGCTGGACTCAATGATCTTCCGAGGTCCCTTCCAGCCCTAATGTCCATGAAATCTATGAAATCATAGTTAAATATTTTCCTTGCCTCTCTTTTTTTTTTTTTTTTCTCTTTCTCTGACTATAGGTTTGAAGATGGGAGATATGCAATCAAGTAATTGAGGTTTAAAAGTTGGTGCTGAAGCCCTCATGCCTCCAACCAGGACTTTCTTCTGAATGCTTTCAACACTTTGCTAAACACTACTAATTCCTGATCACTGAAGATTTTCCAGTGCTGCATATCTTACATCTTGGAACTCCAGCAGTTAGTCTTAAAGCAAATCTTGTTTTGTGGACTGTCTTGCAGTTTTTTAGCTAATTATAATGATAAAAAGGGAGCATAAATTTATTCTGATCCATATCTAGTTGAATGCATGTTTAAAAAAAACCCACAAGAAACAAAGCTTGCTCAATCTACCTGCAGTGACTGATGCAAAAACCATCATATGCAAATCCAAAGGAACCGAAAAGTATTTTACAACTTGTATCACTAATGCACTGTTGTAATGTATGCAGGGTCTTCAAGGTAGAATCGTGAAAGTGAATTTCTTTATAGAATGCCATTATATACATTAGATAAGTGTTTCAACCTTTTTGGGTTGATAGAGTTGCCAGTTCAAAGGGGCACATTTTTTTTTTTAATTTAAGTGATTATATATTCATTTCCAATTAAATTCAGCTAGTATAAATTGGAGTGACTGGAAAATGAGTCTGACAAGCTGCAGAAATCCTGCACAGAATTAGTTTACCATGTACCTTTCCATTTCCGTTACAGGGATTTAGTGTTATGCAGACATTCTTAAGGATCAGAATGAATTGATAAATGTGTGGCTGCCTAAAGGAAAATTCAAATACAGTAGCCTTCCTTGAGTCAATTGCTGTTACAAATGGGAGGTAACATCTCCTCTATAATGAATTGCACCTCCTGAATAAAAGTGATCTAGTTAGAAATCATCACAACCTTCCATATGACAGAGCATTCATCAGAATGAGACTTGCCACACAGACTAATAAAATCACATTTTATTTGTCTTTTGTTAGGTGTTTTTCCTAAGAATGTTCTAGTCCATTGAAAAAACATATGTGCAGTTGAACCAGCTTGCTTTTCAGATATTTAAGAGATTCCAGGGGTTTCTACAACCAACAGGAGGAGTTCAATTACATTGTCATCCTGAAGAGAGAACTTTGTGCGTTTGTTAAGCGTATTAAAGGGGAACAAACAATTTTAACAATGTCCTTATTAGCTTGTATTATCTGCAATGCGGATTATGGATGTAGTGTAGCAGGGCTATCGGAATGTAGAGATTTCAAAAGTTGGGGGTTTTATCCTCTGACATATTTGTGATTGAAGTAGGAGCTATTCATTTGTTATAGCATGTTTGCTGTAACAGTTGGGATTTTCTTTTTTTTTTTTTTTCCTTTTTTTAACCTCCTAAATTGCACTTGGAAAGCACGTAAATTAAGACTGACTGCAGATTAGCGTTTTCATCACAACGAGTCATTTCCAGTATCTTTGCTTGCAACTTCAATTTTTAAAAAGTACCTCAAAGCAAATGCTATGGGGATAAAGGGCTAGCCTTGGAACCCATTTATATACCAAAATCATTATGGGAAAAGATTTTAAATTTATAAATTTGAATATTGCACACAAAAATCAAGGTTTTTCTTAAACCTGCCTGATTTTATGGTCTTACTAAGATGCAGTGGGTTTTTTGTGGGGGTGGGGAAGGAGAGAGGATACATTCTGCCTGCAATAAATTATGCAGTAAATGGTTATAAAATGTTGTTCCCTTTTAAGAGTTTACACAGGTATATCAGACTGTAGTGTTTGTAGTTTAATTTTCCATCCAGAAGTGATTTTTTTATATCTACTCATGCTTTGTTTTGGGGTGTTCTGCTCCTTATACAGATTTGGCAGCTACTTCAAGGTAGCATCAGTGCTGATTTTAACGCTGCCATTCCATTACTTGTCCCTGGTGGGACATGTACACACCTGAAAACCCATTAGAGGTTAGAGCCTTTGGTAACTTTATTTTTTACAATACGCACTCTTTTTTACTTCCATGTTTTGTGTTATAAATTTTAGGATTATTTTGCATGGATCACTGTAAACAGATGACCCCCCCCCCCCATTTATTTCCAATGCCTTTAACGTAACTATGGTGTTGACTAGAAATACTTTTAAAATGTACTTATGAGCACTTATTTCAGCTTGTGAATTTCCATATATTTATGTATGGAGCAGAGATTTACCCCAAACAAACCATTTGAATCTGTACTGCTTTGTTCAAGTCTGTTATTACAATTCCATTTGTGTTGTAGGGTTGCAGCATTGACTCGTCACGTGTTCCAGAGACTGTAGTGAACATTAATACAGGCAGTTTATCCCGTTTAGCTAGTTTAGAGTGAGACTTTTTGTTGTTGTTGTTATCTTTTTAGTATGTTTTTTATGAAAAAGGAGTTGAGGTGTGAAATGATGCTGTCTTGGGGAGAAGCTATAAAGTACAAGTTTTAAGCTTTGCTGTCTCCTGTCTTGTTACCCAATAAAGTAAAGCTTTGAAACCATAGGAGAGAACTTTTCATGAATGCTGCATTAATAGATTAATAGTTAAGGAAAGAATATAATGTCCTATATATTTGCTCTAACTTCCTAAATGTTTTCTTGGAATCTGTCTCCCAGTAATACTATTCCATAACATTTAGGCAGTCTCACTTACTTGAGCACTTTTTTCTAAGTTGCATTATGGGATTCATCTACAAGGGGGGGAATTACCTTTTTCTTGCAAAAGGTACTGTACCTTCCAGATGTGATTGCTGTAACTAATGGGAGGTAGGAGCATGTCTCCAATAGTTTGATTAGGGGAGTAACCAAAAGCACAGTGTGTTTGGGCAGGGGATGTATATACAACTATCTTAATGGTATTTTGTTGCAAAAAGTAGAAAGCATGGATATAAAACTGGGATAAAATCATATGTTTAATAGGGGTTTACACAGCGAGGGTCTTAAGAAACATTCTCTCCTGCTTTTTATACTACATTCCCTATTTAGAATTCCTGTACAAATATATACACATGTACACAGTATATGTTTTGCACTGGAGCTCTTCAAAAAATACTGGGTGTCTAGTGTAGTAGAGAACATTTCAAATCAATCTTCTCTAAAAACTTTTATGGCAGCTTTATATAATAGATTTAAAAAAAAAACAAAAAAAACCCTTTAAACATGGAACTAAAGATAAATAACTATTTCAGCAATAACATAAGAGAAGTCCAAGATGCATTTTGGTTCTAATTTCAAGTGTTTCATTTAAACAAGGTATTATTTAGGCTGAGATTTGGTCCCTAGGTCAGTAATGTCTGACTTAAGTCTCTTAGAGAGAGTAGCAGCAAAATAGTTATGTTCTTGAAAAAGGCTAATAATTGGCACCAGAAACTCATAGGTCTTGTCAGTGGTGTGATGTTCACTAACAAACACAAGGAAGGAAATCTAAAGCTGTTCCAGTATCTTCAATATTGTTCATAAACTTGCTTGAACCAAACATCTCCAGTTGACATTTCTGGGAGACAGAGGAATGCTGTTCATGGAAGCTTCTTTTTGAGTGTACTATGCAAGTTTAGTGCTTAAGTGAAATGAGAGAACGCACACATTTTGTAATTTGCCATCTGCTGTAGTCCTTCCTACTATGGTCTCACCTACTGAAAAGCCCCCTAAGTACCACCATGTCTTAGTGTTGTTAGACTATAGTTCATGGTACAGATTTGTATATCAGGGTACTCTACATCAACGAGTCTTTACAGAGCAATCTGGCTTCTGCATGGAAGATGGGCCACTTACAGTATCTAAGAAAGATTCAAATTTTTAATTTGGAATAGCTCCCCCAGGGCTTGAACACAGTATTATATGCCATTAGTCTGGTTTTTAAACATTACTCTTTTTCTGGGTAGATTAGTGCAGCGGCCTTTTAAGACCATTGTAGTTTTAAGTCCAGTAAGGGGGATAGGAAAATACTGTGCGAGAGAAACCTTCCACATATTAGAACACAATAATAGTGATGCATCACTTACACCTTTTGGGAAGAGAGGATGGGTGCTGGGATTATTAATTGGATTGTAATTTGAAGTTAATCAGAAAGTAGCTTGCACAGTTCCTAGTAGAGAATAGACAGATCTTCTCCAGCAGGTGTCGCTATAGGATAATTTGTGGAGGGTCAAAATCCAGTAACCCCCATTTTGAACTGCATTCTTTTCATGGAAGCCTGTTAGACAATGCAAGGAAGAATTAAACTTGTCTAAATATTTCTGCCTAAAGAATCACTTTTCTAATCTTGTGCATTTAGCAGCTCTAAGCCTCCTGTAGAAACAGTTGGACATGCTGAAGGGCAATGTTTATAAAGAAAACATTGCAGTCAAGTCAGGATTTATTTTTTTTTTTTTTTT